CACACACACACACACACACACACACACACACACACACACACACACACACACACAGCCGCCCCGGTTCCATTCCCATCACCACTCAAACCAAGCACTTGTCTTCCCAACACTCTGGAAGTGGAGGCAGGAGGATCAGAAATTCAAGGTTATCCTTGGCTCAAAGCCAGCCTGCGCTACATAAGGTCCTCCTCTCTTTAAAAAAATAAGAGTCGTGGAGGAGATTAAGGTTTCCCTGTGATCAGAATGAAAGGACCTTAACCAGGGTGGGCGCTGAGCTGATGTGGGTATCCCAGACAACTGGGGAGTTCTGCAGAGGGCCTGGAGGCATAGCACCCCCCCCCAGAGGGCTGTTAGCATGGGGTTCTGAGGCACATGGGGTGTGACTTGGTGTAGTGTGTCCCAGGCAACCGCAGGCTACTTCCTGCCCCTGGGAGTGAGGCCAGGACAGATGGACTAGGAGTGCCCTGGGGCAGTTGTGGCATGTGCAAAGCCAGCAGGGAGCCACGGCACATACGGGCAAAGTGGGGTGAGGTAGGGGCCCTAGTTATGGGACCCCCCAATACTCAGCTCAGAAAGCTCTTGCGGAGTGCCTGTTAGGGAAGGACCCAGGGAGTCTAGCCTAGAGCACAGTCAGGTTCAGGGCAGTGGACACTGGGGTGCGAGGGAGACAAGGCGGGTCATGGGGGGGGGTGAACCCTGATGGCTGCAGTGTCTGTCAACCTGTGGTGGATGCTGGCACACAGGGCTGGTGCTGTTAGGGGTGTGGCTCAGTCTCCACTTCTTCTCCCTTCTCCAGCAACTACACAGCGCTGCTGGGAGTGTGGATCTACGGCTTCTTCGTGCTCACCCTGCTGGTCCTGGATCTGCTCTATTATTCCGCCATGAACTACGACATTTGCAAGGTTTACCTGACCCGGTGGGGCATCCACGGACGGTGGATGAAACAGGACCCCAGGCGGTGGGGGAACCCTGCTCGAGCCCCTCGACCCGGACAGCCAGCCCCGCAGCCGCAGCAGCCTCCCCCCGGTGCCCTGCCGCAAGCGCCCCAGGCTGTGCACACGCTGCGGGGAGACACACACAGCCCGCCCCTGATGGCCTTCCAAAGCTCATCTGCCTGGTGAGTGTTTGCAGTAGCAGCTTGGGTGGACTTGGCACGATCCCTGCCGCTGCGTCTGGATCATGGGTGACGGACCAGGCTACTTGCTGTCCTTACTGTTGGCCCGGGAGGACTTGAAGCCACTCGTGGTGGCACACGAGTCTAGAGGAGAAGAGCCAAAGACAGGTCGTCACTTGAGTTTCCTAGCTGCCAAGGTGAAAGGCGACGTTGGATGGCTTTTCAAGTTTTTGTGGTTCGGTCGAAAGAAAGAGAAGCGCGTCAGGGGTTGGGGGGAGAGTTTTCGGCATGAGACCAGGGTACAAACCTGGTTTTTGTTTTTGTTTTGTTTTAGACAGGGTTTCTCTGTGTAGCTTTGCGCCTTTCCTTGAACTCACTCTGTAGCCCAGGCTGGCCTCGAACTCACAGAGATCTGCCTGCCTCTGCCTCCCGAGTGCTGGGATTAAAGGCGTGCGCCACCACTGCCCGACTAAACCTAGTCTTTAGTTCCTTTTCTGTACGTACCTGGAGGTGACTCGGGCAGGCTGTCCTGTGGTGACTCAGAAGAGAGAAGGATGCCGGCAAGGGAGGTGACATATCAGAGGTTTGGCTTTGGGGATGGCCAGGTCTGGGCAGCTGTCATCTCTGCCCTACACCCCAGGACGATGGTGATGGCGGAGGGTGGCAGCATTGTTGCCCTGATTTGAGGCTTTGGGAGCGGGTGTCTTATAAGGACAGAGGCAGGCATGGCCTGCTCCCTGGCCCGGGGTCTTGGGTGGACAAAGTCTGGGGGCCTAGATAGTAGCTGTGGGCATAGACTCAGGGTACTCAGACTCTGGGCACAGTATCCCTGGGGGGTCACGGCCAGAACCCAGGCTACAAGGTAATCTTGTGCCCTCTTGCCCATCACCTACACTTCCCAGCACAGTGACCACTGGGCTCTGGGGGCGACTGACCAGCACAAGACTGCCTTTGCCGCTTCCCAGTGCGACAACCTCAGACAGGTCTGAAACCCTTTGACCTTGCAGTCCTCATGAGAAGTCAGGGCTGTGTACCCCTTCTTGAGTTATTCTGGGGGGGGGTGCCTGGCACATGGTAAGCACCCCGCGAACCTTTGCTGCTTCTCCTGGGAGGCACGGACGAGCTTGTTAGCCACTGCTGGAGCGGCTCCCAGGTAGCGACCTTTTCAATAATGAATGGCGTGAATAATTAATCGGATGCACTTACAGCCTCTTGTGCTTACGGAACAAGTAACTGCCTGTCTATCACGCAGGAGACAGCCACTGTCTGTCTTCCCTTGGATGGGCCCTGGGCTGGCTCCTGTGCTAGGAGAGGGGAGGGCACGGAGAGCCAACATTCAGGTGGGGAGCCAGGCACAGGCATGGGGAAAGCGAGGTGAGCAGACTCTTGACTGTGCCCAGTGGCAAGACTTCCTGAAGTGTGCACCTCACATCTCTGTCACAGGCCACCCGGAGCTCACTGGCCAAGAGGGCCTGAGAGTCACCAGGAAACGTCTTGGTGGTGTCCCCACCTGCTGCCAAGGAGGGCAGTGAAGGTTATTCATGTTCTCTACACACAGTTGGGGTGTTTGCCTGCGTGGAGGCCCATGGTACTGAGTCGCCCCCTCTGATCCCGATGTCCCTGGCTTACCTGCCGTGAGCACGGTGCCTGCCTCAGTGTTCTGCCCTTCCCACACTGGCTGTCACCAAAATGAACACGGTGCACTGACCGTATGCCAAGTGCCGCACCTTTGGGATGCAGAGGAGGCGGCAGGGCTGTGCCCAGCGCTCGGAATTGTACAAAAACTAGAGTTAGTCAGCTCTGAGGGAAGGTGTCTGCCCGGCCGTGTGGGACTCAACATACTGTGGAGCTCAGATGTCCTTGCCTTCCTGGTTCCTTCTATAGACTTGGGAAGTTGTGCCTGAGGCCACCCGGTTGCTCATTCAAACCGTAGCCTAGAAGCCCATAGGGTATGATGTGTTGTGAGGGAATGTTCTAGTCCACTGGCCACGTTCACACACCGCCTCCCGGTCCCTTTCTGCCTTCGGATGTGCTGTGATGTTGGATGAAGCTTCAGTTTTGTCAGGAGAGAAGCAAGGGGAAAAGGTTGGACAGCCATGTGGAACCTCCTTTGCCACTCCCAGAATCCCCTGGGAGACTAGAGGGACAGGGCGCAGGGCTATGGAGGACAGCTGAGCTCAGCCTGCGGCTTCTCTCTCTTCATTCTGACTTGTGTAGAAGGCAGCGTCTTGGCTGCCTGCTTCTCTGGCTTCTCTGGCACGCAGCCTCCCCTCGCTAGGGCACAAAGCCTCCAGCAGAGGAGCCGGGTGATGGTGGCAGACCCATGTGTCACCTTGCCCCTGGGGAGGCTTTCTGTAAGCTGAGCTGAGCAGTAGATCTGGACTCTCTAGGGAAACTGAGGCTCAAGGCCAGGTGGCCAGCTGGGTAGGGCAGGTCTCCTGCAAGATGGAGATCCAGGCAGCTGTGTGTGGGTGGTCTCAGCTGCCCAGGCTCTAGGGCACCCCTGCCCTGCCATGGGGGAGACGGGAAAGCTGTAACAATGACCACCCGCTCGCAGCAGGGCCACCATCAGGTCTGTGGCTCCCAGCTGGGGCTTGGTGAATGATAAGCCCTGGGTAGCCCCTCAATTGCCACTTCTACAGCAATACTGGAGACCCTAGGGATTGTGGCACAGCACTGGCCCCTCAGGCCCTATGGGCACTGACTCCATTCATCTTCCTCTTAAGCAAAGTGACTGCCTGGCTGAAGGCAGAACCAGGTGCCAATTAAACAGCCAGGCATATGGAGCTTCAGCCAGCTGTCCTGTTCCGTGTCTCTAACTGAGTTAGGGAACAGGGAAGCCCCGGGTGAGCTGCCTTCATTGAATTCTACAGAGGAACTTTTGTCCAGCTTTTCAGACTCCGTCTCTGTTCAGGTGACCCAAGACTCAGCTCCCTGAGGCCCCAGTGCCCTCCACACCTTGAATCTCTCTTTGCCTTTCCCCCCAGGGCTCTGCCTTCCTCGGGAGGAAGCTCTCCAGCCTCCCCCTCGGCTGCAGATTGTGGCAGCTGCTAGCCCCAGACCATCGGCCTACTCAGGCTTCTAGGTGTCCTCTCTGGTCCTGTCCCCCTGCTGATGGGCCCCGCAGCTTGTTTGCCTGTCACACCGTGGTTCCTGGTGGTTCCAGGCTCTCAGCCCATGTTGGGGCTGCCCGTGGCTCACAGCAGATGCTCGCTGAGTCTGCTCTGACGCTGCAGCAGGTCAGCCCAGTGCAAAGGCGCCATGCAGGATCTGGCTGAGTGTGGTTCCCTCCAGCCCGGGCCCCCAGGACCACACTGGGGGAGCGGCTGGTGCCCTGAAGCTCAGCACATCTGCCTCTGCATCCTGCCTGTCCTGTGACAGGTGAGGAAGGGTCCGTTGTCATGTTGGTCACCCCATCCTTGTCCTTGTAGTCATTGGCACATATCCGGGGGAAGATGCTCGAGAGCACGCCCACAATCACAGACACACCTTCCCAGTCCCAGGGGGGCATTTGTTAGCTCGTCAGGATCTCAGGGTTAGAGTTATCCTCACCTCCCAGATGGGTAAACCGAAACTCATACAGTATGAATGTGGGCCATGTGGGTGCTGAAGGCAGAGCTGTAGCTCGGGTGACTCAGGAGCTACATCACCAAAAAGCCCACTCCAGCATGTGGTGGCTCACAACGCACACTGGAGCTCCCTGTGTACCTCACAGTCAGCTCCAAGGAGGAGTCTCCTCTCCCCAGCTGCCAGTCACTGTTTTATCACCTCCTGGCGGGGTGTCTGAGTCTTGTGACTTTTCTGTCTTTCCTCCCCTTCCACCAGGAGGGAGTAGTTCAAATATCTGCACAGCTTGCCTGCTAGGTCCCCTGCCCCACGCTCCACACCACTTACGTCTAGGAAACTGAGGCACGTAGCAATTGGGTGACTGACCCTAGCCAATCAGCGGTCAGCACTTAAAATGCAGGTGGGCCTGACTCCAGGCAGCTTAGAAGAATGCTTGTCTGGCTGGCCATCCGCCTCTTGCCCACGCTGAGGCGAGAGCCTCCTGCCTGTCTCCCTGCCCTATCCTTTGTCCCTCACAGCAGAGTGACCCTTTTAAAACATAAATCAAAACCAGCTAATGGAATCAAAATCCTCTTCACGTGCTCACCCAGCACAGCGGCCTCCCTGATGGTGTCCCAGGGCCTCAGCAGCTGCTGCTCCCAACCCAAAGAGGGCCTCCCCCAAGAAACCTGCAGGGCTGGCTCCTTTCCTCCCCTCCCCGCCCCCCCTCCAGCCCAGGTACATGCCCAGAGGCTCCGCCCAGAGAGACAGTCTTCATACCTCCCCCACCTCCTCCATACCACCTCCCCCCATCACGGTCTACTCCCTACACACTCTTTCAGCCCCTTTGATGTGTTACCACCACCTGGCAGTGTGTCTGGTTTCCTGTTTGGTGTCTGTCCATCTGTCAGTCTGTCCCACTGGAAGGGAACCCCAGAAAGCTGGTCTCTATGGAGCTCCAGCATTGAGAATAAACACCTACCTCATGGTAGGTGCTCAGCAAGCACACGCTGAGTGAGTGCCCCGTGTCGCTCAGGATGGTGTGTTGAAGGCTCCGGCGAAGGTCAGTTCAGTGAATGAACCACAAAATGTACAGCAGATGTTCCCAGTGCCTGAGACTGCAGCCAGAGCTGTGCAGCTCCTGTCAATGGGGCCCCCTGAATCTCCCCAACAGCCCTGAAGCATGTGTGTCCTTGGGCCCATCAGAGACCGAGGCCCAGGGGGAACCACAGTGGCCTGCAGGCTGGGCAGGACATGGAATTCAGGAGACTGATGCTAGAGCCTGTGTCCTGGAAATGTAGGTCCCTTTTCCACTGGGACATCTGCCTCCTAAGACACCTGGGACACCTGTCCCAGGCTGGGTATGTCATCAGCTAGAGAGTGTGGATTCCCTAAGTGGGCCTTACCCATCCCCGGAAGCCTAGGGCTCCAAGTTGCCCCATAAGAAGCTCTCTGGC